TCCATTCAGCAATTGATACATTTCTCTTGTTTCACGTAAGTTTCAGTACCATTAGTGTCACAGAACACTCCTCTCTTCTCCCTGCGTTCATCATTCATCATTCATTGGTATCCTCCTTTCCTCTCCCCTACTGTCCCCTGAACTTTGTTTTGGGGCAAATGCTGCTCTGTTGCTCTGATACGGTTAATTGTTCTGAGGATTATGTTCCTCATGAGTAAAGTGTTCACTCTATTGCTTGACTGAAAGATTATCTCCTGTTTTTGTTAACTTTCAAGATCTGCATTCTAAGGCCAGAATTTTGTGTTTATTTAAAATTAAATCCAGGCCTTAACTTGTTAACTGACTAAAATGAAGAAAGGATTTTTTTTTAAAGTAAGGAAGGTACAGCATAGATCCTACATATTAACCCTTACATTAGCAACTCCCTTTCTCCTCCTTTTTCTTGGACTCCAAAACAGGAGCCCTGAAACATGCAAAAATTACCTGAATGTGATATACCTATGCAATAACTCAGCAGGAAAAAGAAAAAGGAATGAATTGGAGACACTTTATGTTAACAGAAGTGGAATTTTTCAGAAAAGGGTAGTAATAGTGGTGGCACAATTTGAAAAATATAATCCATAACAGTGAATTATAAACGTGAAAGCTGTGTTTAGAAATATTCTGATATGAACATTTTCACCACAGTAAAAATGTTGCTGTGATACAAATCAAAGCAACTATGAGCAACAATAGCAAAGTTTAACAGAGCAGCAAACAGTAAATGCTGGTGAGGTTGTGGAGAGATTAGAACCCTTATTCACTGCTGGTGGGATTGTAAAATGGTACAGCCACTGTAAAAGGCACGTTCTCAAAAAGTTGGAACTAGAAATATCATTTGACTCAGCAATTCCACTACTGGTAGTATATCCTAAAGAAACCAGAGCCACGACTCAAACAGATGTATACATACCCATGCTTATTGTTGAATTATTATAGCAGGGAGATGGAGGAAGCCCAAGTGCCTAGAAACAAACAAAGGGATAGAAAAACTATAGTACATTCACACAATGGAATATTACACTGCATTGAAAAACAATGAACTCGTAAAATATTATACAGCATGGGGGAGGCTGGATGACATGTTGAGTGAAATAGCTCCATCACAAAAGGACAAATACTGCATTATGCTGCTGTTGTAAAATAGGACAAACATGGGGGGGATGGAGAGAATGAGAATAGTGTAGATGGATAATAAGCACTGCATTAGATCATATGAAGGGAAGAACTGAAATGAATATATGACTAGAAATTATATGAGAACAGTCTGGAAAAAGGGGTGCATTGTGGGGTGAACTGGGGGAGGAAGAGGGGAGGAAGAAAATGGGCAACAATGACTAAAGAAATAATATTTTTAAAAACATCTTGCTGTGAAGTCCACTATCTAGAACATGTGACCAAAGTAAAAATGACTGATGCAGGATCCTGTCCCTTAACTGTCTTCATTTTTGCTTCTTGCTGACAAGCTCACAGATAGACGCTTTTATCTCTGTACAGGTTTTAAGCAATGTTTGCTTGTGGCTGGTCAAGACAGAAGGCAGCTTTGCCTATCCCAGCTTTGCCAGCTAGGATAACCAGTTTAAAAAATGGCTTCCAGTGATTCTTAATTTCCTATGTTTGTACTCTTATCATATTGAGTCTAGAGAAGAGCCAAAAAAAATTTTGCAAAGAATAAAATGAGGTGATTACCCAATTTCAAGTAAAAAGTAGCTACAATAATTAAATGGGAGCAGTGATGGTTCCGTGGTAGATGTTTGGCTTTGCATACAGGAGACCTGGGTTTGATTCTCAGACTGTGCACCTCAGACGCAGCTACCACCCATCTCTCAGTGGAGATTTGCATCTTGTGTTTGGTGAAATATACTTCTCGGTCTTATAACCATAGTATGTCCACTTGCTGTACAGAGGTAACTCGTGGTTGCTGTGAAGCCGAACACTGTGACACTGATGAGTCAATTGTGAGAATGGTTACCCATAGTGTTTGGTGGAACTCCCCAATTAAAACAAGCTTGGAAGCAGGAGTGGCATCCACTTCCATAATATCTTGCCTCCAGAAACCCTATGAACTTGGAGAAAGGACAAAAGTTATACAGGTATTCAGGTCTTTCGTTCATAGGGTCACTATGAGTCACCTACGACTTGATGACACTTAATAACAACAATATGAATAGGACAGGAATCCACAGAAGAATAATCAAAATTGTGTGGCATTGGTGGTTGGCAAAGCCAAAATATTAGAGAACCCAGGAAAAGCCACACAGAAATATAGCAAATTGGCTTTTTACAATGATTAAAAGCAATTTTTAAGAGGTTTAAACCACTGTTTATTTAACAAATTATTTTAAAAGACAGACAATCACACAGTGAAACTCTCCTTCACCAAGTATAAGAGTCACCTCAAATAAGTACACGCAAAAAGGATGGCGTCACTTGGGTGAACACAATTAAAAGCAATTTTAAAAAAGAAGAATAGGGAGCTCTGGAGGCCTAGTGACTAGAAGCTGCACTGTCAACCCAGAGGCGCGTGGTTCCAATCCATCAGATTCTCTGCTGGAGAAGGAGGGACAATCTTCTCCTGTACCAGTCAAGTCCAATTTGATGGTACACACACACACACACACACAAAATAATAAAAGAAATTTTTAAAAAGTTTTTTCAACAAATGGAAGTAGAAGAACTAGATGTCCATTGTTGTTGTTGTTGTGTGTACCAGCAAGTTGGAACCAAGTCATAGCTTACCTTCCAGTGGCAGTAAATCATACAATAGGAGAGTGCCCATCTTTCTCCCACAGAGCAGCTGGTGAATTCAAACTGGCAGTGCAGCTCTTTATCAGTAGATCACCAGAACTCCACAGATACCCATGTTATTGTTGTGTGCTGTTGAGTCAGAATCAACTCATAGCTAACCTAACCCTCCAGTGCATTTTCAGAGGCCGTAAATCTTACCACAGGAGATTGTTCATCTTCTCCTACAGAAGAGCTGGTAGATTTGAATCTCATGCTTTTGGGATTACAGCACAACTCTTTACCACTAGGCCACCAGAACTCTCTAGATACCCATGTTATTGTTGTTGTGTGCTGTTGAGTAAGAATAGCCTCATAGCTGACCCCCCCCCAGCAGGTTTTGAGAGGCAGTAATTCACGCTAGAGGAGATTTGAACCATGTACCTTTGGGATTAAAACTAGTATGGAAGGGAGCTCTGGTGGCCTAGTGGCAAGAAGTTGCACTGGAATCCCAGATGTGCCTGGTTCGAATCCACCAGATGCTCTGCTGAAGAAGAAGGGGCAATCTTCTCCTGTATCAGTCAGATCTAATTTGACGGTACAATGCACAATAAATAATAAAATAAAAAAGTAAAAAAAAAAACTAGCATGGAAGCAGGAGTGGCATCCACTTCTGAAACAGCTGGCCTCCGGAAATTCTATTAATGTGAAAAAACTACGGAAGTTATGCAAGTATTCAGGTCTTTCGTTCATAGGGTCTCTATGAGTCGTCTACGACTCAATGGCATCTAACAACAACAACCACCTTTGGGATTTCAGCACAGCTTCATCTTACTATTAGGCCACAAGAGCTCTGTAGACAACCAAAAAGCAGGGGAAAAGTTAATCTAAACTTCATAACTTATAAAAATATTCACAAGAAATAGGTCGTAGATAGGAATATCCTCAATAAGACAGATTGACATAATGACTTACTTCTTACTTCAACAATGGACTTAAATATATTAGAAATGACGAGGATGGCACAAGGTAGGACAAGGTAGGGTAGCTATGAGTCATAGTTGACTTGATGGCATCTAATATCAAAACCCAGTTTTAGGTTTCAGACTAAACCTATATAGGGACTCTGGGAGCCTAGTGGATAAGGAGTTGCAATGCCAACCCAAAGGCAGGCAGTTTGGATTTACAAAGGAGAAAGATGTCAGAAGGGACCAGTCCTTGAAAAAAGATATCATGCTAAGAAAGGTAGAGGATCAAAGAAAGAGAGGAAGACCCTCAACAAGATGGATTGACACAATGACCATAACAATGGGTTCACGCATATCAGAAAGCTGGATAATTAATAACAGGAGAAGAATCAACACCTTTGAATTGTAGTGTTGGAGAGGAGTACTAAATATTGTGAAAATGGCACAATTCTCTTGTTCAGATCTCTTGGTCAGAGGGCCACTGTGAATTGTCCTTGACTTGTCAGGACCTAACAACAACACGACCCAAAGTAAAGATTCAATGCAATCCCAGTCTAAATTCCAAAAGTTTTATTTGCAGAAATAGAAAAATCAGTCGTAAACATTATAAGGAAAAGTAAAAAGTCCTGAATGGCTAGAAAGATGCTGAAAGAGAAGAACATAGTAGAAGAAACCACTTTCTGATTTTAAAACATTTGACACAGTAACAGTAATAAAAACATCATGGTACTGGTATAACAATAGACGTATAGAGCAATGAAATAAAATAGACAGTTCTGAAGTTTATAGTCAATTGGTTTTTTCACAAAGATGCTAAGGCCATTTGATGGGGAACGCGGAGTTGCCTAAAAAAAATGGTGTTGGCTACTAGCAATATGCCCTAAAGAAACCAGAGCTGCCATCCAAATAGATACATGCACACCCATGTTTGGTGCTGGGTTATGCACATTAGCAGAGATGGAAGCAACCCAAGTGTCCATCAACAAATGAATGGATACAAAAACTATGGTATATTCACACAATGGAATACTATGCATCATTGAAAAACAAGAAACTCATATAATATTGCACAATATAGGTGACCCTGGAGGACATTATTCCAAGTGAAATATCTCAGTCACAAAAGGACAGATACTGCATAGCGCCACTGTTATAAAACAGGACTAACATGTGGATTGGTAGGAAACAAAGAAAAGAGGGGTTAAATAATGAACACTGCCTTGGAACAAATGAAGGAAAGAACTGTTTAAAAGGAATACATGAGGGGTCTGTGGGCCAACATGGAGTATCTGCAGGTCCTGAAACGCGGGCTGCAGCAGATCAGCGGCCATGGGGGCCTCCGCGGCTACTTAAGAGTTTTCTTCAGGGCAAATGATGTGAGGGTCGGTACATTAGTAGGGGAAGATAAATATGGAAACAAATACTATGAAGACAACAAGCAGTTTTTTGGCACCGTTGGCTTCACTGTATAACTGATGATCCGCCAACTACAAAGCCACCTATTGCTCGTAAGTTCATTTGGATGAACCATAGGTTCAACCAGTCCGGCACCCCAGAACAATATGTACCTTATTCCACCACCAGAAAGAAGATTCACGAGTGGGTCCCACCTTCAACACCTTACAAGTAAAGACAATGAAAAACAATTTAAATATGTAAAAATAAAAGCAACTTTTCTTGTAAAAAAAAAAAAAAAGGAATACATGAGGGGAGCTCTGGTGGCCTAGTGGCAAGAAACTGTGCTGCAAACCTGAAGGCTCATGGTTCAAATCAACCAGGTGCTCCGCTGGAGAAGGAGGAGCAATCTCCTCTTGTGCCAGCAGGATACAACTCGACAGTACACAGGAAGAAGAAAAAAATAAAAAGGAATACATGATTTGGCATTATCTGTTTGACAACAGTCTAGAATAAGAAGTGCATCAGCAAAGTAGACTGGGGGAGGGGTGGGTGTAGTCAACTAGAGGAGGGGTGGGGGGAAGGGAGGAAATTATGCAACAATGAATCAGGTGTTTTTTAAGCCATCTGGGGCAGGGCAGAGAGGAAAATAAGCAACAAAATGCATGAAAAATTCAACTTTCCTGTAAAATTTAATAAAAATAATTAAAAAAAATGGTGTTGGGAAAATTAGATTTCTACAAAAAAATTAAACAGGATCTTTGCCTCATGTCACACACAAAACTAAACTGAAAATGGGCTAAGAACCTAAATGTGCAAACTGAAAAGATAAAATTTTAGAACAAGCAGAATGCTGGCAGGCATAACTTTCAACAATGTATCATCTGCTATTAAAACACAAATAGCACAAATAAAAGCAGCTCTGCAAAAGACTTTACCAAAAATGAAAAAGACAAGCTTACTGACAGGCAGAATATTTTCAGAAACCATATATCCAACAAGAAACTAATAACCGAATTGATAGCTTAACAACAAAAAACTCCCAATAATAAACTGAACAAAAAAATTTTAATAGTCATTTCACCAAAAAGGACACTCAAATGGTCACCAAACATATCAAAAGATGCTCAATGTCATTAGCTATCTCAGAGATACAACTAAAAAGCACAAGATAGTGCTACCACTGTCTTATTAGGATGCTGTTGTTTGTTATTTGCCATGACGTTGAAATCAACTCAGAGTTGACCCTGCAGCAAATTTTCAGAGGCTGTAATTCCACAGGAGGAGATTGTTCATCTTTCTCCCTTGAAGCAGCTGGGAGATTTGAATTGTGCCTTTGGCTTGGCAGCACAACTCTACCACTTGGCCATGAGAGCTCCCTTGCAGTATGATGGTTTAAGATTTAAACTCCCCGGGGGAACTTTCCTGCCTTGTGATTTACAGCCTCTGTAATGCTAGAGAGTAACCTACTGGTCAGTTCCAACTCAAGAGCAAAAGGTGGGGTTTTTTTAAGTAAGGTAATTGAAAAGATGATGCTTGAATCAGGCTAAACTTAATGCTCAAAATGACATCTTTGTTCTTTGGCACTTTAAAGTGACCTTTCCATTGAAATAGACGAGGGAGGGAACTGTATAAAAGGAATACATGAGTAGGCATTATTGGCATTACAAGAGTCCAGGCAGACTAAGAGTTGCATAGTAAGTGTGTGTGTGTGTGTGGGGGGGCTGTATAACAATGAAAGAACTTTTTTTCCAAACAAAAAAGTGAACTGGGGTGGAGGGGGATAGGGAAGAGAATGTGCAACATGAATGAATGGAAATTTAAGTTCTTTATAGCATGTGAACTAGCTCAGTCCCATAAGGAAATTTCAGTATAAGGCCATTATTGTAGAAATAAAAAGATAATTAATAAAACATGTATTAGGATCCAAGAGGGAGAGGAAAGGAGGGGAGGGTTGAGGATGGGTAGGAGGATAATCATAGGGTCACACAATTTGATGGGTAGAGGTTAAGGATGGGTAAAGGAAATGGGAAATAATCAGTGTAAAAACAATCTATAAGAACTTTGTAAATAAACCAGTATAAAATAAAAATTTTATTAAAGAAAAAAAAAACCTAAAAAAATAAAGAGTAAAATGCACCTTAAAAAAAAAGAGGTCTTTTGCAGTGGATTTGTCTGATGCAATATGTCATTTGATCTCTTGATTAATGTTTCCCATGGGTATTGACTGTGAATCCAAGTGAAAGGACATTCTTGACAGCTTCCAGCTTTTCTCTTTATCATGATGGTGAGTTTTTGGTCCAGTTGGGAAGATTTTTGTTTTCTCTGTGTTGAGGTGTAATCCATCCTGAAGGCTGTCTTTGCTCTTCAAGATGTCGTCCTTTTTATTGAGTAAGGTGGTATTATTTGCGTACTGAAGATACATGAATGGCTAATAACTAAAACCCACTGCTGGCAGGTTGACTTCAACGCATAAACCCCCTACAGAACAGAGCAGAACTGCCCCATAAAGTGTCTAGCCAACCATTGGTGTCGAGTTGTAATTGACCATTCTTGGGATTCTGAGCTTGTAAACCGCACAGGAGGAGCCTGACCGTCTTTCTCCCATGGAGCCACTGGTGGACTCAAATTACCAGAGAGGGGCAGTCTTTGAGTTAGCAGTGGAGCTCGCATACAGACTACGCCCCCAGGGCTTCCTGTAGAGTTTCTGCAAATATTTACAGAAGTAGACTGGCTGCTTCAGCTTTCTGTTGCAAAGCAGCTGGTGTATGGGAACCACTGATCTCTCAGCGGTTCAATACTTAATCCATTACACTCCCAGGGCTCCTTCAAATGACAAATAAGCACTTAAGCTATTCATTATCAACGTTGCTATCATGTTGTTGTGTGCTGTGGAGTCAAAACCAACTCATAGCTGACCCTCCAGCAGGTTTTCAGGCGCTGTAAAGTGGCCAGGAAGATTGCCCATCTTTCTCCCTCAGAACTGCTGGTGAGTTCAGACCATCTATCTTTGGGTTAGCAGATCAACTCCTTACCACAGGGCCACCAGAGTTCCCTTCAGTATCAATTGTTACGTGCTATTTTGTCTCCTGTCATTCATAGTGACCTTTTCCATGTACAACAGCTCTGAAGCCTGCCCTGTCCTGAGCCAGTCTCACTGACTGTGACACACCTACCCCCATTGCCAGTCACTGTATCAATCCATCTAATCCGGGGTTTTCCTCTCCTCTGCTGTCCCTCCACCCTTCCAAGCACGATTTCTTTCTCCAAGGACCGGTCCCTCTTGGACATGTGCCCAAAGTGTGTGAAACAGAGGCTCATTTTCTTGGCAGTCAAGCAGTCACCTGAAAAATGCAAAGTAAAACCACAACGGGATACCATCCCACACATAATGAGTAAAATGAAAAAACAAGAAACTTCAGGCACTGAGTGTGATAATCAGGTACAAAACTTTGCAAAACAGTTTGTCACTTTCTTAAAAAGTTAAACATAAATTGACCATAAATCTTAGCAATTCTACAACTAGATACCTACCCAAGAGAAATGAAAATCTATGTTATCCAAAGACATGTACCTGTATGTTCACAGTAATGGTATTCCTAACAGCCCAAACTATAATATCCTTCAACAGCTAAACTGATAAACAAAGCCTCACATATTTGCAGTGCAATACCATTGAAGGATAAAATAAATGAAGAACTAATACATGCTACAACATGGATGAACCTTAAAAGCATTTTAAGTTAGACATGAGACACAGAAGACTACATAGAAGACCATGTGACTCCATTTATATTAAAGCATCTTTAGGAAGGCAGAGAGATGATAAATGGCAGGGCCAGCCTAGTCCTTCTCCCTTTCCCTTGCAGGCTTAGGTAAGGCTAGGGCCACTCTGAGTAACCTTTCCAACCTGACCTCAGGGGCAGATTCGGTCACGTGTTTAATAAGCAAACACAAGTACACTCCTGATCATCTTGCTTATTGGCTACTCTATCTGTGTCAGTAATTGTAAAGTGGAAAAGAAGCCATGATTCTGTAGTAAAGTGTAGGATGGGGAAAGAGATCGATTTCAGCCATACCTAGAAGCAGAATCTTTGATGTAGTGGTGGGGGTGAGGGAAGTGAAATTGTTCACAACAAATTAGTAAGTACTCTGGTGCTGACCTTGCTTATTTAACAATCTGATACTACCTGGCAGGTGAAATCTATGGGGAGGATAATACTTGGGTGTGGCAGGGGGCTTGCCTAGCCTGGCCTTCAGCAAATCACCTCCCTGATAACTAGGGAGCAAAGTGCAGGCAGAAGGGAGAAAGTAAGCACAGGAGAAAGAAGCAACCTCCTTGGAAAACCACTGTGCCAGAACTCTACATTCTTTAGAGGTACCTCCCCCACCCTACCCTTCTTCACCCTCCCTTCCAGACCCTTTGATGATCGTCCCATAGCCAAGTCTTGGTCATCCTAGTAAAATTCTGGTTGGCTAGGCTGAGTTTACATCAGAGATTTGATTTGGGTCTGTTGAAATATAGCCAATTGACTTTTTTACAAAGATGAAAAGCATTTTAATGAAAGAAGGATAGTCTTTTTAACAAATGAAGGTGGGGCTAAGCTCAAGCCTCTGTCTAGGACGATGTGCTTGTCCATAGAAGCTAATGTATGTTTACAAATAGATCCATTCCTACTCATTTTTAATAAGTGAGAAGAGGATAGCTATTCTTTCTCCGCCCCATTCTTTTTCACTCTTGTGCTAAATGAGTTCTTAAATTAACCTGCCTGTTTATGCAATGTTCCAGATCAGTAATGATTATACAATCTATAAGTCTCACTGGAGACCTAGAGGTCCAGAGACCCTAAAGCCTAGAAATTAGGTAGGGAAGCACCTAGTGGTGCAGTGGTTAAGCACTCAAATTGCTAACTCCTTGTCAATGGGCCACCAGAACTCCCTAATTCTTCAAGGGACTTCCTTATTCTTTGCCCTACCTTTACATGTGTATGAAGCAATTGAAAAATCCATGACCACTGTCATGTGTCATGTTTAGTTTTGTCTTCAAAGGGATATCTTAAAGAGGATCTTTGCTGCAGCTTTGCCTAGGGCAATGCTTTCTTAGGTTTCTTGACTGATGTTTCCATGGGCATTGATTATGGACCCAAGTAAAATGAAATTCTGACAATTTAAATCATGTCTCCATCTGTCATTAATTTGCTTATTACTCTAGTTATGATAATTTCTGTTTTCTTTCTGTTGAAATGCAATGCACACTGAAGGCTGTAATAATTGATTTTCATCAATAAGTGCTTCATGTCTTCTTCATCTTTAGTAAACAAGTTAAACAGGTTAATGAGTCTTCTTCCAATAAAATAGTTTATTGAATTATTTACTCAGATTATAGCTTTAATAAGTATTGTGAAAGGAAATAACCTCGATACACACCTTTCTTGATTTTAAATCATGCAGTATCCCCCTTATTATGTTCAAATGATTGCTTCTTGGTCTATCTACAGGTTCCATGTGAGCACAATTTAAGTGCTCTTCACAATGTTATCCATAGTTGTGAGAGCCCACAGTTAAATGCACTTCTATACTCAATAAATCACAGGTAAAATCTTTCTGATATTCTCTGCTGTACCAGGATCCACTGGACACCAGCAATGACATCCCTCATTCCACATCAGCAGTTAATAGTCTTCATTCTACCTGCTTTTCTGAATCCCACTTTTAGTAGTTCCCTGTCAATGTATTACTCCAATCATTTTTAATTACCTTCAGCCAGATTTTACTTGCACATGATATTAATATTATTCTATATTTTTTTTAATTCTGATGAGTCCCTTTTCTTTGGAAGGGAGAGAAACATCTATCTCTTTCAGTCGATTGGCCAGGTAGCTATCTTCCAAATTTCTTGGCATAGGCAATTGGGCATGTTCTGCAACTATATGTTGAAACATTTCAACTTGTGTTCCATCAACTCCTGGAGTCTTGTTTTTTAACTAATGCTTTCAGGGCAGTTTAGACTTCTTTCAATACCTTGGTTGTTGATCATATACTACTTGCTGAAATGATTGTAACTCAACCACTTCTTTTGGTATTGTGACTCTATATAGTCCTTCCATTGTCTTTCAATCCTTCCTACGTAATCGAGTATTTTCCCCACAGATTCTTTTACTCTTGCAACACATTTTATAGGCTTGTCTGTTGTTTGACTGAAAGTTAACACATAGAGGTGAGTTTAGTTCCTGGTTTGAAGTGTATCTAAGAGTTATAATCCTGAGTGTTCCATCAGTGTAATAGATGCAATCCTGGCACATCATTATTATTTAGAGTTTTGTTCCATTCCTCCCACTCTATCCATGACTTCTCATTGTGATCTCTTTCAAAGCAGTTTGCGGTCATAGCTGGGAACCATCTAGTTGCTTTGGTTTCAGGATAACTAGGAGTCCTTTGGATAATGTGTCTTTGATATTTTGGGGGTTGGTTTGTTTTTTTCCCTTTACCGTTCTTTGCTTTCAACAGAGTGCATCTTTTATTCTCTTGAAATTTTTTTTCTTGCTGTAAAAATTAAGTCATTTTGTTTTTTATAGCTTTTCACAATCTGTGTATTGGTGGCTGTATCCTTGCAATATTGTTCATCAATCCCCTCCTCGTCTTCTGTATTTCTTTTAGGTTTAGATTATTAGCTCTAGTAGCCTAGTAATGTTCAAATTATATTTTTTAAATTTTATTTTATTATTTTGTGTGTGTGTGTGTACCATCAAATCAAATCTGACTGGTACAGGAGGACACTGCCCCTCCTCCAGCAGAGCATCTGATGGATTCGAACCACGTGCCTCTGGGATTGCAGTGCAGTTTTTTGCCACTAGGCCACCAGAGCTCCCTTCAAATTAGATTTTTTTTTTTTAATGACAAGAATAATTGCTTTTTCTTTAAGGATCATACAATTACTATCTCTCATTAGCAGCCATTGATGGTCCTGTCAATTCTTTTGGTAGCCCATCATATATTCAATACTCTGTGCCAAAACCACAGTTCAAGGGCATTGATGCTTCCTAAGTCTTCCTTAGTCATTGTTCAACTTGCAGATGTATACGAAGCAATTGAAAATACCCTGGCTTGGCTCAGGAATACTTTAGATTTGAAATTTATATCCATGCTCTTTAACACTTTGGAGAAGTCCTTTACAGCAGATTTGCCCAATGACACAAGTCTTTTTGATTTCTTGATTGCTGTTACCATGAGTAGTATTTGTGGATCAAAGTAAAATGAAGTAATTGATAATATCAATCTTTTCTCCATCTATCCTGGGACACTAGTACCGATTTTTGTTTTCTTGATGTTGAGATGTAACCAACCTCGTTTTGAACGCTATTGCCTTTTATCTTTTTCAGTAAGTGATGCTTCTTCACTTTCTGCAAATGGTGTCATTTGCAGAACACAGGTTTTTGAGGAGTCTTACTCAAATTTTGATGTCACGTTCTTCTCCATATAGTCCAGCTTCTGGAATGATTTTCTCAGCATACAGATTGACTAAGTAGGAGAAATGATACAACCCTGATGTACAACTTTCTTGATTTTAAACCATGCAGTGTTCTTTTGTTCTCAGTGTTCAGAAAACTACTTCTTGGCCCATGTACAGGTTTCCTATGAGTACAATTAATGGTATAAGTGTCCTCAAACACTTGAGAGAGTGGCGCACCACCCCCTTTCATATCACAAAGATAAGAGAGTACACCTGCATACACAAACCATTTGAAATAGAGGACTATGCACAAAAGGCGTGGGGTGAACAAACTATTGAGAGGTCTTCCCGCCATTAGGGGGCGCTAAGCAAGTTTGTCCAACACCCGGATCGGCAGCACGTTCTTGTCCGTGCTCTGGATTTTAAGATCCGGTAGAACGCAGCTCCTTCAGGTTAAGGGTTCTGGATCTCTGGAGGTGAGGAAACAGAGGTGACAAGGTGGGTGACCAGAGGCCAGAAATCCGCCAGCTCTGGGAAGTTCATTTTTTTGCTTACTCTTTACGGTATCGCGAGAACGGATAGTCTCGCTTTCTTACGCAAGCTACGGGGTCGGGGGCGGAGAAATGAGCGCGGGAAGAACTGTCAGAATCCCTTGATCTCCCACCCCCTTTTCTTGCTCTATGTCCCACCCCTCGGGTCTCGCCTCCCTACCTTGTTTTTTTTGTTTTTTGTTTTTTTCACCCTACCTTGTTAATCCAAGGAGTTCCTCTTTCCTTTTGAAATCTTCGCCACACCACTCGCATTCCCGACCTTCCCCGCAGGTGAGACGTCAATGGAGCGGCTCCTGGTCCGGCTGTGCGGCACCAGCGTTGCGCAGCCGCTCCCGCTGTGGGAGGGGGACACCACTGGCCACTGCTTCACCCAGCTGGTGCTCAGCGCCCTTCCCCACGCGCTCCTCGCTGTGCTCAGCGCCTGCCACCTGAGCACCCCGAGGTGGGTAGTAACAAGCATGACATTTGTCCAGATGTGACCATAGGCTTCCACAAAACTGACTTTCTGGGAGTGTCACCAGAATAGGAATGCCTCTTGGATATATAGATTAAAATCTGAGCTTTGTCTCTTACAAGGTGTGTGGCTGTTCTTAGGCACGTTACCTATCTTCTCTGAGCCTCATAACATTGTTGCATATAGCATGTTATTTTATCAAATACCGTTAAGCATATAATTATCTGGTTCCCTTCCTCCCCTCCACTCCCGCCCAATTTTAAAAGCCCTCAGCATAGTGGAAATCATCATAATTGTAGATTTCCAGATGCCCAGTACTAACTGTCATGAACTAGAGATGAAATTGAGTGGAAAATATTTTTAACCAAAAAGGATGACCTATGTTAGATTGTAGGTTTAGTTTCTTACTGCTTCCATCCATCATCATTTCATTTTAGTGTTCGTGAGCTACAGACAAGCATATGCAGACTCAATTGAAAAAGAAGCAGTAGGTCAAAAAAGAGAAGAATGAATAGGCTAAACTCCCCTTGACATTGTTTTTAGTTCTTTGGACACTGCACATTGGGAGAAAGATGGGAAACCTCATAGGCAATCTCTTGCTGTATAATTTACAGCCTCCCAAACCGCCAGAAGGTCAGCTATGAGGTAGTTCCACTGGATAGTAATGAGTTAATGACTTATGTTTAGAGATGGTAACAACTAATCTCACTCTAGCTGCTGAAAAGGTAGGAGAGAAATCTAGTCTTTTGGGATTTCTAATCTGATGAGGGGCAATTGCCCTTCCCTCAAAATAGGAAGAGAAATTGTGAGCCGATGAATCCCTTCCTTGGGTAGGAAAAGGCATGGATCTGCTTGCAAGTGAGAGGAGAATTACAAGTTTTTATTCTTTCTCAGAATGAGACAGAAGTCTAGAGAAGGTCAGTCAGCAGAGGCATCCAGAGGAGTATCTTATTAAACATTGATACAGTCCTGTGGAAATTTGCAGTTCCATAAAAAGGCAAGAGAGATCAATATATGCTCACTCAGTAGCTGTGTATCTCACTTAGCAGACTTTTGTGTTTCTAGGAAAGAAGTTAAAGAGACGCAGGATCTGAAACAGGATCATCTTAGAGGACCCAGACTCCTCATTTTACTATTGGGGAAATTGAGATGTAGGAGAGGGTAGGATATTTACCAAGGTTATGACATGAGTTGGTGGCCAAGATCAGGCCAGTGTACCTGCCCCCAGTGTTTCTTCTGTCCCTACATTTCAGGATTTAGGATTATTAAAGATCAACTTTGATTCTATTCAGCCCCTCCAATATATTGGTCATCAGCTAGATTGTTAAGGAAATCCAGAGCTTTTTAGTGTACGACTAAAATTTTTCTATACCCCAGCCCTACCAACAAAGGGCACAGCAGACCTTCCAGGAAGTCTAGAATTCACAGCTAGAGACGTTTTCCTGTACACTTTGCACTTTTGGTTATTTATGCATGGTGCATGCCAAGAAGATAAGGACAAAGTTAAAGAAAAGGTTTTTATTTGCCTGAGAAGTAAAAATGACCCACACCATCCCCTGCCATCATTATAGAAATATAGGTTGGGAATAGGGCTTCATAAAATTTGCATTATAGTATTAGACTATAGGAGCTACATGTAAAGCAAAATATTTGTCTATCCAAGAGTGCTTCATAGAAACATATGTTATCCTAGATGGATACTTTCAAACAAATAGTTATGAGCTAATGGTTATCTGTATAAATATTTAGAATCTCTTTTTTTCCAAATTAGCATCTTCATGTTAAAGCATTAGCTTAAAAATTTGAAAGCTTGTTAATAAATTTGAGTGTGTGTGTGTGTACTTGTGGAGGGAGAATGAATCAGAAATGGTGTGAATAGATTAAAAAATGTATTAGGTTAATCTGAGAGGACTTCCTGGGAGAAAAGGTGCTAGATTCCACGGTAATCTGGGGGAGTGATTGAGTTGTTGGAGGTGAGGGATGTGCCTGGGCCCTGAGTCAGTCATCATGTGCATCCTTTTATTTCTTCCTCTTTGTCCCTAGGAGCCCAGGTTATAGTCTACCCTGCAGTCCAGGCTGGCGCCTCCGACTTGCAGCCTCCTTCCTGCTCTCCGTCTTCCCTCTGCTAGACCTCCTTCCAGCTGCTCTGCCGCCAGGGGCAGGCCCAGGACCCATAGAGCTAGAAGTGCTGGCAGCAGGCGTGGCAGCTGTGGCCTGGATCAGCCATAGTGTGGCCCTATGGACACTGGCCCGTTCCCCTCATAGCCTCTCCCGAGGACCCTTGGCCTTGGCTCTGGCTGCCTTCCTGCCCGCTCCAGCCCTGGTGCTGACCTTGCTGTGGCACTGCCAGCGAGGCACACTTCTTCCCCCACTTCTCCCAGGGCCCCTAGCCCGCCTCTGTATTCTCATCCTGCAGCTGACTGCACTGTTGGCCTATGGACTAGCCTGGGCGGCCCCTGGAGGACAGCAGGAACCCTGGTCCCAAGAGCCCCTTCTTTCCAATGGACAGGAACCTGAGGTGGCTGAAGATGGGGAGAGTTGGCTGTCGCGATTTTCCTATGCCTGGCTGGCACCCCTCCTGGACCGTGGGGTCCGTGGAGAGCTCCGACAGCCCCAGGACACTTGCCGCCTCCCCTACAGACTCCATCCAACCTACCTGGCCCAACTCTTTCAGGCACATTGGCAGGAAGGGGCTCGGCTGTGGAGAGCCCTGTATGGGGCCTTTGGGCGACGCTACTTAGCACTTGGGCTGTTGAAACTTATGGGAACCATGCTGGGCTTCTCAGGCCCCCTGCTTTTGTCTCTGTTGGTGAGCTTCTTGGAGGAGAAGCAGGAACCCCTAAGCCAGGGCCTGCTCTATGCCTTGGGGCTAGCCAGCGGGGCTGTGCTGGGCGCTGTGCTGCAGAACCAGTATGGGTACGAGGTACGGAAGGTGATGCTGCAGGCCCGGGGGGCTGTGCTGGACATCCTGTACCACAAGGCTTTACAACTCGGGCCTAACCGTCCCCCTGCGGGGGAGGCCCTGAACCTTCTAGGCACAGACTCAGAGAGGCTGCTAAACTTTGCTGGGACCTTCCATGAAGCCTGGGGCCTGCCCCTGCAACTGTCCATCACCCTCTACCTGCTTTACCATCAGGTGGGCATAGCCTTTGTGGGTGGTCTGGTCCTGGCACTGCTGCTGGTACCTGTCAACAAGGTGATTGCCACTCGCATCATGGCCAGCAACCAGGCGATGCTGCAGCACAAGGATGCCCGGGTCAAGGTGAGGAAAGGCTGGTGGAGCCCGACCAATCAAAAGACCCCACCGGCCTCTCAGTCCCTGGGGTCCTCCCACACACACTGTCTGGGGGAGTGTATGAAAGAGCTCAGACTGGAAAAAGGTACATCTGGGTTCAAATCCTGGCCCTTCTACTTGCTAGTCCAGTAACCCCAGACAAATCATTAACCTCTCCAGGGTTCCATTTCCTTATCTACAAGGAAGTTCCTTATCCGTAAAGGAAATATAATAATAGCTTGCTTCAGATGATTGTTGTAATGATCACATGAGATAATAATTAGCACAGTGCCTGTCACAAATTAGGTGCTAAGTAAATGTGGACCATTAGCAGTTCTGCAGTATTACCACTTGAGGTCCTAGGCAGCAGCCCGATTAGGTTGGCAGTAACCTCACTGAGAACCAGATGAGTTTGTAGCTTCTCAGGCCGCTGGAGTCAGAGCCCCGCCCTCTTCCTCCCTCACCCCTGCCTAACCCCGCAGCCCTTTGGATCACCAGCCTGTCCTCTCTCTAGTGAACCCCCTTTTGGCTTTATGTCTGAACTTTCTCTGTACCTTAGTTCTTCTCTCCACTCCTCAGCATCGCCTGGGGTGGAAGGCAAGCACACACAGAGGTTTCTTCTCCTGCTGTGACATCGGACACAATTGGATTTGCATTCCTAAGTGGCACTTTCCAGGCTGGGTGACCATGGACAGATTTCTCAACCCTGAGCCTCAATTTCTCATCTCAAAAATGAGGCAAACTAGAGCCCCTGTGCTAGAAGGTGGGAGCTCTGGTGGCCTAGTGGGTAAGGAGTTATGCTGTCAGCCAAAAAGGCACATGGTTCAAATCCACCAGCATCTCTACAGGAGAAAGTTGGGCAGTCTCCTCCCATGTGATTTACTTCCTCTGAAAACCTGCCACTGACCATCCCATTACTGTGCGTGAAGAGCCATAGGGAGCGCAGTTACCTCTTAGAGGTAGATGTGAAAAAGGAAGATTCTTTTCTTGCCTCATCCCACCGTAGATGCTGAGGGTCTGGCTAAGTAAGTTCCAGATTTTTTAGTGATTGTGGAGGCCATTACAGTGGGGATGGTCATCCCGAGGACCTAAACAGAACAGCTGCCCACCTCTTAACTGGACCAGCTTGGAGTGGAATTCCCCTGACTAACCCATCCCCAAGTGGAATATGGTAGGGAAATTAAAAGAGAATCAGAAAGGAAGCAACCCAGGGGATGAAAAGAAGGGTGTGAGGGGCACAATTCCCAGAAAGGACTGAAGCAAGAATAAAAAGTTGAGCTAGAGGAATATGGAATATCTGGAAACAGAGTATTGGAAATTATCTGCCAACAGCCTGGGAAGACTTGGCAAAGGAGAAAATACCTGGGCAGTGTCTCTGCTTCACACTGTGCTTTGTCCCCTGTCCCTAGCTCATGGCAGAGCTGCTGAGTGGCATTCGAGTCATCAAGTTCTGTGGGTGGGAACAGGCACTGGGGACCCGAGTGGAGGCCTGCCGGGCTCAAGAGCTGGGGCGACTACGGGTCATCAAATACTTGGATGCAGCCTGTGTGTACCTGTGGGCTGCCCTGCCAGTTGTCATCTCCATCGTCATCTTCATCACCTATGTTCTCATGGGGCACCAGCTCACTGCCACCAAGGTGAGGACTGGATTTGGGGGCTGAACAGAGGGTCTGTGGGAAGAGTGCAAGGGAAGCAGCAGTGAGGGGACACGGGCGAGTGGAGAGTCAAGCAAAGGCTCAAACAGACCTTTTCCAACTGAAAAGAAACTTTTCTAATGGGGTCTTTTATGAAACTTTGGCTAATGAACTTTCTCACTGTGTCAGAATCCCTCTTTCCTCTCCAGTTTCCAGTCAGGCCCCAACTTGGGGTGGTTGTTGCTGTTAGGTGCAGTAGAGTATGACTCATAGCAACACTATGAACAACAGATCTGAACCCTGTTCTATCTTGTGCCATCTTCATACTTTCTGAGCCCATGGTGGCAGTCACCATGTCTGTCCACCTAGTTGAGGTTCTTCCTCTCCTTTGCCTACTCACCCCCAGCATTATTTCCTTCTCCAGAGAATAGCCAGCCTCTCCTAGTAAAGCATGCCCAAAATATGTGAGGTGAAGCCACATAATTTTTGCATCCAAAGAGCATTCTGGGTGCACTCTCTTGAAGTTGTATCTATTTATTTATTTTTTTTCTATAATTTTATTAATTTTCATAAACATTTACAGAGATTTTGGGTTTCCATTCATTCACCGCTGCACCATTCTCTCTACCCTCCTCCCAGTTTGTTCTTGTCCAAATGCCACAGTGCTTGTCAAAGCCAGTTCTGATTAATCTTTGTCAGTGTGTCCTTTGCCATTCTCTATCACTCCTCCCTGAGAGAGACTTCACCCTGAGTCATAAGGAAAAGGGGATGGCGTATTCTCTTAGCTACTTCCTGCTGAAAAGGGACACTGTGGGTTTCAGGGTGAAGATCTTCTCTCACTACTCTAAAGGGCCCCTTTGGCAGTAGGAAACACATAGACTATTATGGAGATTGATTTTGGAATTTAGATGCACTCTTATTGATTGTGCTTGGCCGTACATGTTCATATCCTTGAAGATGTATCATGGGGGTGTTGCAACCTAGAAGACACAAATTTGACTAACAAGTTATAAGTACGAGTCAAAAATTATGGAAAAGTAAAAGAAAAGATTCTTTCATTGTTTTACAAACCCTCCCCCAGGTCCCCTCCACCATGCAGCCCTCGCTCTAGACTCCTGTGATGACAGAAATACCTATGTATCTCTTTTAAACAGTTTTCCCCCTCCTCTGTTTCAGTGCAGTTGAAGTTGTACTTATTTGTTCTTTTGGCTCTCAGTGGTTTGTTCAGTGCTATTCTCCAACACCACAGCTCAATGGCATCAATTCTTCTTCTGTTACCTTTATTCATTGGCCAGTTCTCAGATGCATAGCAAGTGTTTGGAAAGATTATGTCCTGAATTAGATGCTCCTTAGTCCTCAAATGGACATTATTACTCCTCAGTAATTTGGAGAGGTCTCTAACTGCAGATTTTCCCAGTGCAATCTGTCTCCTTATTTCCTTACTGCTGGTAGCAAAGATGTTAATTGTGGATCCAAGTAAGATGAAGCTGTTGACCGTTTCATTCTCTTCTTCATTCATCATGATGTTGCCTATCAGTCCAGTAGAAAGAATCTTTGTTTTCAAAAATAAAACAAAGATTTTTACCTCTTGACCGATAGGCAATGTCATGATGGATGGAGCTTGGGATAAGGTTCTCTTATCTTCATTCTTATGGCTTTAAGAGGAAAAAAAACACAAAAAACACCTCATGATCTGGTGTGCTAGGTCTAGCCAGAGCCAGATGTTGTTATTTAGAAATTCTAAGATCTCAAAATGGGCTAGATCTGAAGATGCAGTCTGGATTCTTGGATGCATAGATCTGGCATTTTTAGGACTATTGGAGCAGGAGTGACTCTGGAGGTGACTGTGCCATCTGCAGTCCCAGAGTTGACTCAGTTCTGCCACTGGCCTGTTCCTCCTGGAGCTGTTTATAGAACCATCCATAGAATGAACCCTCTGATAGCTCCATGCTTTTTTTTTTTTGAGCTGCACACACATACACACATACCCTTTCTGCTCTCCTTAGGTATTCACGGCCCTGGCTCTGGTTGGAATGCTCATTCTTCCCCTCAACAACTTCCCATGGGTAATCAATGGGCTTCTGGAGGCCAGAGTGTCCTTGGATCGTATCCAGCGTTTCCTCGACCTTCCAAACCATAACCCCCAGGCTTATTACAGCCCAGGTAATGGGAAGCTGGAGGGAAGGACCTGGTACAGAATGAGGAGAGGACTTTAGCCATTTGGGCACTATACATAGATGAACCAGGATGAACCAGGGGCAGCCAAATGCAGGCAGAGCAGGTGTCCAGTCCCTGGGGGAGGGCCCTCAGTCCAAGACTAAGGCTGAGCCGGCTTTGAGTCACTAAATAAGAAGCTGGTAAGACAATGGTGTACCCAAACAGGTAGGTAATGAGCGAAGAGCCCAAGTTAAAAGGCCTTTTCTCCATTCAGACCTTCCCATGGAGCCTTCTACAGTATTGGAACTGCGTGAAGCCAGATTCTCCTGGGACCCTGTTGGAAACAACCAGGAGACCTTCATCTGTCACCTTGAAGTAAAAAAGGTTTGTTAGTCTCAATACCTTGGGATAGTCTACAGATAGGAACTCAAAGACTTATAAACCAAGGCTGAGCCAATTACAGCGAATGACCCTGCAGCCATCAGAAACACTGCTGGGCAGTGCTAATCTCAAAGGACATGATTCCTCATCTCCAGATCTCTTTCCTCCAAAGAGAGGTGCTTCAGAGTAGTCAAATATCTCACTGGCCCTGGCATCCATCCCTTCCAGACCCACCAGGTTTTTGTTCCTCAGAGATTACAGAGTTCAGAACAGACCCCAGGGCTTCTCCAGCATTGCCTTAGGCTGGGGACCTGGGGGAGAAGCCTGCAGTCCCTTCCAAAAAAGACTTTGTAAACGGCTAGATCATCATCTGTTTAGCCAGGTGGAAAGGAATCACACCCTGTGATTCATACACACCTCAGCGTGTTCAAAGAAGAACTTGAAGATTCCTGGCAGGAAGGTGGCCCCTGTGTATCCCCAGTCCTGTGTTTTCACTCTCCCCTGACCTCTGGCCAACCCCTGCCCCATAGTTCAACCCCGCTTTCTCCAGTGGCAGCTGGGCTCCCTCTATCTACCACATTTGGCTCACAGTTCTGGCTTGGATATCTCTGTGTGTTTTGTTTTTGCTCTTAAGTTTAGGCAAGACAAGGCTGGAATTTTTCAAAGGCATTTTACTAATGTGTTAGGGCTGTTGTTTTAAAATATATAAGCCATAGAACTTTCATTAGCTTAAGCAAACAAAAATTTCTATTAAGGAAGCCCAAAGACTGGAGGACAGCAGGGTTTCAGAAATAGCCCAAAACCAGGTCTCAACTCAAGCAGCTCTCTGCCTTCTATCTGCTTCGCTCTCTGGATCTGCCTTTTTCTTCTCCCTGTGGACTCTCTATGGAGTAGAAGATGTGGCCACAGGGAGCATTCCCACTTACAGGCTGCAGCCAGCAGGAGAGAAACTGCCTCCAGGGCTTACTCCCACGTGCCCAGAGAACGGTCTCACCTTGGTCTGCTGCCTTCTCAGCAATGGGAAAACCCTAGCCAGCAGTGTGGACGCCACAGCTTATAGGTTTCTCAGCCTGTTTCTAGAGAAGAGCAAAAGGGAGGGGGGAGAAACACAAAACAAATTACTTTTCTTTGGCAGGAAGATATATCTATAAATGTATGTTACAACTAAGAAAACAAATCACAAATCCAGCAGTTGCCTGAAATTCAGGTTTTCCTCTGATGGAAATCTAACCACAGCCCAGCTCCATCTGGGCTTCAGAACCTGAAGTTGTTCCCTCCCCTCTATCTGCTCTGGATTATCTGCCCTGAGCTGGTCTTGCAAAGTCTTGAGCAATCTTCCTCCCAATCTCTGCCATGCTGCTCTCTTTCAGACGCTTTTCACACACATGCAATCTAGTAGCTACTTCTCTAGTTTCCAGGAGAGATCGGTCTCGCAGATGCAGTTCAGCCAGCAGGGTGAATGCTCTCCCAGTGTACTCCGTGAGGCCAGGAAACACATGTCTGTGGGATGCTAGGCTGCCCAGAGCCTCTGGAGGGAGACAGCTGCCCATTTCATCCTTCTCTTTCTGAACAGTGGCTACTTCCTTGCGTGTCTTTCTTGCAGGGTTCCCTGGTGGGCATCGTGGGGAAGGTAGGCAGCGGGAAGAGCTCACTGCTGGCTGCCATCGCTGGGGAGCTCCACAGGTAACCACCCTCCAGTGTGCTCCTGACGACTTACTGAGTATGCTTGCTGAGCCCCTGCTATGGGGCAAGTTCCATTTAGGGGCCAGGACCACAGACCCTTTCTTGGCAGAGTTTCCAGTCCACTAAGGGGCAGGTGAGCAAGAAAGGGAATAATCAATCATATATATTACTCTCAAGTGTTGCAAGTGCTATGATAGTGAGCAAAGAAAAGAAACAGGATAATCTAGCCTCAGCTAGGGAGTTCTGGGGCCTAGGTAGCAGTGAGGGGTGATGCTAACCCGAAGGCCATGTGACTGGTGGTTGAAACCAACAGCAGTTCCACAGGTGACAGATGGGTGGTCTTCCCCTATTGCGATGACCCAGTGGAGGGGCACTTAGAGTCAGAACCAACTCAACGGTAGTTTGAGGTTTTAAATTTTTTGAGCATCAGCTACTCTTTCAGAAAATGGGGTTGTGAGAGGAAGGGCCCCAGGATTGCACATATGTTTGAGAGGAGACCTTGTTGTTTTTTGTTTTTTTTTGAGACCTTGTTTTAACGTGAAGAGGAATACAGTGTAGGAGCTGCACTCTCTTCTGAGATGCTCACCATGCACCCGTGTGTAACAGTTTATGGGGCCCATTTATAGCTATAAAGCAATTTATTTCCTTCCCATTCCAGAATGAACCCATAGTCTCGTTTGATCACTTTTGACTTATGTGCCATCGAGTCAGAACCAACTCGTAGCTGACCTTCTAGGGAGTTTTTGGCGACAGGAAATCACAAGGAGAAGACTGCCCATCTTTCTCTTAACAAGAAGCTGGTGGATTCGAACTGCTTGTCTTTAAGTTGGCAGTGTAACTCCTTATCACTAGGCCACCCCTTCAACCTAACTGCTTCCAATTCATGCAACATAAAAGGGGCTTTAGCACAAATAGGAAAATACTACTAATTAAAAGGGTGATGGTTCAGAACTCCCATGCTCTACACACATTGCCATTCCACTGATGAGTTGGAATTGCTGTGACAGCAACTAACAAGAACATGTAGAAGGCAGACATCTGGCAGGGCTTCCCCTGGCAGACCTGGGAGTAGAGGAACTCACTGGGAAGCTGACCCTCATGCTGTTGGCCTGACTCTGCAGGCTGAGTGGGCAGGTGGCAGTGTCAGGGTTGTCCAAGGGCTTTGGCCTGGCCACCCAGGAACCCTGGATCCAGTTTGCCACCATTCGAGACAACATTCTCTTTGGGAAGACGTTTGACAACGAGCTGTACAGGACAGTGCTGGAGGCCTGCGCCCTCAACGATGACCTTAGCGTGAGTTGCTAGCCTTGCCTTGAAGTCTGTCTGCCTGCTTTCCTGTCTGTCCCTGACCCCGCCAAGCAGACACTTGCTTCTGTGGAGATTGGTTCAGGCAGCATTTCCTGGGATCAACCATCAGACTTTGACCTGCTCAGGGCCCAGTTACTTGGTCCTCCCTTCCCCACAGGGCCCAGAGTGGTAATGATAATTGGGTGCCTACTCTGTGATAGGCAGGGATTCCCTGGAAGGGAGGCTCTGCATAGGTGTGCATATTGGTTCTTACCCAGAGGGCGCTCAGGGAAGGCTTGGATAGGTCTCACTTGGTTTGCGGTTCCCTGGGGAAGCTTGCTGTACCTATGAGATTTCCCCTCTCCAGAGTCCTAACTTTAGAGGGTTAAGTGATTCCAGATTTCTCCTATGACTTCCCCATCCTTCCCCTTCGCCCTCCATAACTGCTGTTACCATCACCCTGCCCAGGTAAACTTGTAACTGCCCTTAGAGAGGAAGACCTTTGAATTTGACCCTGGCATATCTTGTGCTCTTTTATCACTTGTCTCTACATCACTCATGTCCCAAATGCCTCCTGCATCCTAAGTGCTGTTCTAGGCACTAAGAAAAGAGATGAATAGCAAAGCTTGTCCTGCAGGGAACTCACCATCTAATGGGCCATTGATGTGGCTCTGAGTATGGGGACCCCTGAGACCACAGGAAAACTCAGAGTATTCTTCCTCTAAAGCCTAGGAAAGCTCCCACAGTGAATTTGTCCATCCTTGAATATTCTAAAGGCAAAGTGGAACAGAGTAAGAATCTGGGCCTCAGATCCTTCACCAGAGGGACATGCTTGTTTCCCCAGAGTACTGATTAAGTAGAAATGGGCAAATCAGCAATTGGCTCTCTGGCGGTATGAGAGCATGAGGCATGAATTAGCTGGCTTGTGCATGTTCACAAAAGTAGTTGTTGATGGAATGATTATAAGGGGGGGGGGGAAATCCACAATATACATGAATGAAATAGAATGTAATTGAAGGACTGTATGGAACACTATGTACATGCATTAAATATATATGAGCAATTAAAATGTTAAAAATAAATCTGGATAAAGGGCTTATCAAGCTGGTTTCAAAACACAGAGCTCAAGTGATTTACACCAGAAACACCAAAGGTGGCGATGCCCCAGCTGCTGGAGAAGATGCATAAACAGGTTCAACCAATCTGTACATTCTAAAAAATAAAATTTGACTCAACCAAAAAAAAAATCTGGAAAAAACAAATCTGGGCTTCAGTCCTGCCCATTACTAGCCCTAGGACCTGGGGCAGAGTGGGTCTGTGAAGAGGAAATAATAGGAACTTTATAAGGCTGCTGTGGAGATTGACTGAGATAATATGTGTAAAGAAGGGGTAAGCATATAGTAAGTGTTCAATAAATTGTAGTAATGGTTGGAATTATAGATCATTCCCTGTGGCTCACGCACACTAAATTCAAGTCCATCCTCAAACTCAAAGTTCTTTTGATTTCTGACCTATCAACCCTGCAAAGGGGTAGAAAATAAGGTAGAGGTTACTGTAGACTAAACTGTTTGGGATGGTCTGTTTCCTCAGATCCTGCCTGCTGGAGACCAGACGGAGGTAGGGGAGAAGGGTGTGACTCTTAGCGGGGGACAGCGGGCCCGGATTGCCCTGGCTCGAGCTGTCTACCAGGTAAGTTAAAGGTGAGGACGGACAGGGAGGTAGAAGAAGTCAGGAGACTCGGGAGTTTGGCTGAGAGGGGGGATAAGGACATGTTCATGAGCATCAGGTTTCATCTTCCCACCTGCTCCATGTTCCCTTAACCTTCCTGTTACCTCCTTTCAGATTTAGGCAGAATTAAAGATCCATTAAACAGTGTTATGTGAGGGAGGAGGGGGAGGTGTTATGTGGCTTAAGTAACTGGGGCCCAGCAAAGCTGAGTCCTGACCCTCAGGCACTGCCTGTGACTGTGGGGAAGTCTACCTCTAACTTCCCTCTCTACTGCTGTCGGGATCGCTCCCTGAATTCCTCTCAACTCTTCTCTTGGAATATGTTGAGAGATGTTCCTCAGAGATTGCCTGGATTGTGGTTAGAGGCCTTGGGGCTTGGTGCCCATGCTGGCCCTCCCTTTCCCTAGGAAAAGGAGTTCTATCTCCTGGATGACCCCCTTGCTGCTGTGGATGCAGATGTGGCCAACCACCTGCTGCACAAGTGCATTCTGGGAGTCCTGGGCCACACCACCCGACTGCTGTGCACCCACCGCACCGAGTACCTGGAGAAGGCTGATGTAGTGCTGCTGCTGGAGGCTGGACGCCTCGTCCGAGCTGGTAAGGTGGGCCGTCAGGGTGGGAGCCCCCAATCTGCCAAGAAGTGACAGGGAAGAGAAACGGATGGATTGTCAAAGCCAGACTCAACCACACCTCCTTCATATGTGGCCTGGGCCTGGCCATTGCCCCCTTCCATGCCATGGGAAACCTATTCCACCTTCACTCTGCCTGGAGTGAGAAAACGGGGAAGCAGAGCAGAGCGCACACAGGTGAAATGCTGACATGTGAGGGACTAGTCGGCTTTGTGGCTGGATGCTCTTGCAAAACTAGAGGCCCAGGATCTCTGAAGATTTGATGACCTTGAAAAAGAAAAAGCAGTCAGATTTAGAACGATCCTTTGATTTAAAAAAGGAAAAAGAAAAACTCTGAAGGAGGATTATTCAGAGCATCATGGCTGTCTTCCAATTCATAGAGAAATGCGAGGAAATGACGTTCAGCTAGAGTGTTGAGGATTTTGTGAAACTTAAAGGAAATGCCCTGGTAGTGCAGTGGTTATGTGCTTGGCTGGTAACCAAAATGTCAGGGGTTCAGACCCACCAGCTAATCTGCCCTCTGCAAGAGAAAAGACCTGGTGATTTGCTCCAATGGGAAGGTTCTCCTCAGCTTGTTAGGTCATTCTAATTCTAAATTGACTTGTCACAACCAGGGGTGACTTAGTAGGAGCTTACAGGAATGAGCTTTTGTCTGTGTTGGACTGTGGACACAGAAGGGTCAAGTTGATAAGTCCTGTTCAGAGACTGGGGGATTCAGGTCAGGATCCTGCTAGGCTGAGCTGAGAGGGAGCGCTGGAGAAAATGGGAGGTACGGTCTGCAGTGATATTTCAAAAGGCCTGATAGAGGCCCTGAACACGCCCTCCAGATGCCTCCTCCACCTTGTAGGACCACCCTCTGAGATTCTGCCATTGGTGCGAGCTGTCCCCAAAGCCTGGACTGAGAATGAACAGAAAACTGACTCAGGTACAGCCCAGAGGTGGGGAGGAAGAGCTCAGTCTTCACCAAAACCTGTGGAGATGTGTTTTCTACCAACCTTGGAAATGGAAACACAAGGGTTTTCAACTATTGTCTTGTAAGTTTAATGTACATTCTGATTCTCGCAGCCACAGAACAGTCAGTATGGAGCCCAGAGAAAGCAAAAGAGAGTCTGGAGGTAGAGAAGAGTACATCTAGCCGCCTGCTCCAGGAAGAAAGCAAAAAGGAGGGCGCCGTGGCCTTCCACGTGTACCGAGCATACTGGCGGGCCGTGAGCTGTGGCCTGGCCCTCGCCATTCTCTCCTCTCTGCTCCTTATGCAAGGTGGGGTACACTCTGAAGCCCATCCCAGCCCTGCCTCTCACACCATCACTTTATACTAATCGTTCCAAAGCACAGGCTCACCAAGCATGGACAGTAGTATCTGTGAAAAGGTGTGCCACCATTTCAGGGGGAGAGATAAACTCTGTGGCATTTTCTCACAGGCACCCCCAGGCTACCTCTCACCCTGCAAGTTCAATAGCAGAGGAATGTTGGGCCCAGGAAGGAAATATACACCAGGGAGAGAGGCAAGGTGTTAGGGCTGGCTGGGGGCACAAAGGAAGGTGGAGACCAGAGGTGCAGAGGAAGGGGTGTTTGAGTAGAGTGAAGGAGAAGAGCCTCACTCAGCTCCCCCTCTCATCCTCACTCAGCCACACGGAATGCTGCTGACTGGTGGCTCTCCCACTGGATCTCTCAGTTAAAGGCGACCAAGAATAGCTCCCTGGAGGTGCCAGCCCCCGCCGGCCCAGTTTCTTTAGGGCTTTTCTCTCCGCAGCTGCTCCTCTTCTCGGCCGGAAGCCTCTAGTGAGTGACCAGCATTGCTTTTAGTGTGTCTGACAGGCAGGGAGTGAAGATTAGGGGGCTTGGTGTCCCAGGGACTGGGTGGGGAGACATGGCGTGGGTGAGGAAGGGACCCCTGAGTGGCCTTCCTTTTGGTTACCCACAGCCCCCTCCCCACCACCCAGTGCCCCAGTGCTCCCACTGCCCAAAGCTGCCCCCAATGGCTCCTCAGACATCCGTTTCTACCTCACCGTGTATGCGACCATTGCTGGCGTCAACTCCCTCTGCACACTTCTCCGGGCGCTGCTGTTTGCAGCAGGCACTCTCCGGGCGGCCAGCATCCTACACCGACGTCTGCTGTATCGAGTCCTCCTGGTGAGGGGAGAGGAGGGTGGGTTTGGGAGCACAGCCCTAACTTTGGGGGGGGGGTGTCCACTTTGGGGATACCATCCTCTACCTCTCATAGGATAAAATAGCCCCTCACAGATGAGTGTTGCATTTGATGACACCATGGCCTAGAAAGGCCTAATTTGAACTGGATTCAAACTCATTTATGTAACCTATCCTCCTTATCTGTCAATGGGATGCAGGTCCGAGTCTCCGACAGTAAGCCTCAAGCGTGGTCACCATTGCTGTCAGTGGAGGCTTTTGTGTCTCTGTGAAACCCAGCGTCATGTGGGCCTCCCAACTCCCTAGCAGGGAGCAGCTGCCCATGGCCTGCTTTCCCTCTAAGAGCTGTGGGAAATCATCATGTTGTGGAAAAGTCCATTTTTCTCGTAAGCTGATAATAGGAAGTACCTCAGAAAGCCGTTCCACCTCGTCTCTTGCCTTAAGACTTTCTAAAGTAAAGTCAAGAGTGGAGAGATGGGGAAGGTAGCGACAGAAAAAGGGCTGCCTTTAAGATTATAACTGGAGTCCTGATATAGGAGCCATTATTGGTCAGATCCTCCATGTCAGGCAGAGATGCCAAGCACTTGACTGCTATGTCTATGGCCTTTAATCCTCCCAACAGCCCTGTCAGGTGAGGGTCCATTATTATCCTCAATTTTTCAGTTGAGGAACAGGGGCCTTTAAACCCCAGGGCTGGGATGTCACATCTAGTAAGTGGCCAATGAAGAATTCATACTGCAGCTTGACTGCCGGCGTGAGTTCTTAACCATGAGATGGTACTGAATGTGACTGCTGCCCTCAGCAGCACTGTCCACTCACAGGCAATTAGGATGTCCCTGCTGACATCTAACTCAGTCTTACTCAATGTCCTTGAAGCTCCCTACTTCCAGAGAGAATGAAAGACATCCCTACTTCCAGCTCTTGAGAGATATCTCTGCATGTCTGCCACCAAGTTGGAGATGTGGCTAGAAGCATGGCTTTCTAGGGTCACTGCTGGCCAGCAGGATGAGTCTATCCTTTCTGGCCTGGGATATTCTTTTACCAGTCTCTCTCTGCTCCTAAACACATTACCCTTTTCTGTTCTCAGCCTTGGACCTTCTTCCCTACCCCACTTCCCCCCAAGGGATACCTTTTAAGCTCTCTGCCTGTGCCCAATCACATCCTCTCTCCCAGGCACCAGTGACTTTCTTTGACTCCACACCCACTGGTCGGGTCTTGAACCGCTTCTCTTCGGACGTGGCCTGTACGGATGACAGCCTGCCCTTCATCCTCAACATCTTCCTGGCCAATGCAGTAGGCCTGTTGGGCCTCCTGGCCGTGTTGAGCTCTGGCCTTCCCTGGCTGCTGCTGCTGCTGCCCCCCCTGAGCATCCTCTACTACCGTGTGCAGCGCTACTACCGAGCCTCCTCCAGGGAGCTGCGGCGCCTGGGGAGCCTCTCCCTGTCCCCGCTCTATACTCAGCTGACCGACACCTTGGCTGGCCTCCCTGTGCTGCGGGCCACAGGGGCCACCTACAGGTGTGTGGATTCTGCCTTTCCCAGAGCCCACAGAAATGGGTCCCAGGAGGAGGGGAGATGATGGCATGTGTGGTGGGGCACAGAGGGAGAAGGGAAGGTTTGAGAGTGCTTTGTGAAGAAACAGATCAGAAAAAAAGACACAGAGAGCAGACCCCCTGCCAGGGGCATGATGGCACCAGTGTATCCTTGAGAGAGGCCTGGGAGCAGGTTGATCAGCTTCTAAGATGTTCTGCAGAGGAGGAGACTGAGTGTAGTAGAGGAGGACAGGGAGGAATCTGAGTAGGGCATTCCTCACTCCCCTTCTGGCCTCCCCAGGTTTGAGGAAGAGAACCAGCGACTCCTGGAGCTAAACCAGAGGTGCCAGTTTGCCTCCAGTGCCACAATGCAGTGGCTTGACATCCGGCTGCAGCTCATGGGGGCTGCAGTTGTCAGCGCCATTGCTGCCATCGCCCTGGTGCAGCACCAGCAGGGTGTCACCAATCCAGGTGCCCTGCAAACCTTTCCCATCACTTCAGAAGCAAAGTACTTCACTTCAGTACCAAAGTACTCCTGACTCAGCCTCTCCCTGCACAGCCTCCCTGCCATGTCATCTCCCTCCCATCTAAGGCTTCCAGTGAGGATGCTAATACCACCACTATCATCATCATCATCCTCATTTTGGGATTGAGAAACCTGGGTCTCAAGGAGGGAGCTTTGATGGTAGCCCATGGAGACTTACACTGCTAACCCCTAAGCCGCACATCTCTGATGGTTCAAATGCACCAGCACCTCCAAAGTAGAAATTGGACAAGCTCATCCCATTTGATTTACAACCTTGGAAACCCTCTTAGGGGGTCAGCTATGAGTTGGTTCCAACTCAATGGCAATAAGAGAGTCTCAAGGAGAATCTTGCCCTACATGGTGGTGGATCTGGAACCACCCTGAGCCCCCACTCTGGCCTTGACTCATCCATCATCTTTCAGAGCTTCTGACACTCTACTCCCTTGCATCTAGTCTCTTAGAGTCTCAGCCAAAATTTTGTTCTCTTCCTGTTTTACTGATGAATTAATTTAAGTGCTCATCATTCACAAGCTTATAATTCCCCATCTATCCCTGTCCCATCCCCCTACCACACACACACACACACTCTCTCTCTCTCTCTCTCTCTCTCTCTCTCTCCACTTAGCAGTTGCTGCTTCTCTTCCCCCAGGGCTGGTGGGCCTGTCACTGTCTTACGCTCTGTCCCTGACGGGCCTGCTGTCGGGCCTGGTGAACAGCTTCACTCAGACAGAAACCATGCTGGTGAGCGTGGAGCGGCTGGAGGAGTACTCCTGTGACCTGCCCCAGGAGCCCCAGGGACACGCGCTGCGGGTGAGCCTGCATCCTTGCCCTAGGCCACAGCTCTGGAACCCTAAAAGGCCCTATTACAGCCTCCAGTGCCTCCCCTAGTTTCTTTCCTTTCTTTAGCTGTCATATGACCTCCACCATTCATCACTGTCCTCATTTTCTATCCATCCCCCCTCCCACCCCTTGCACTGTCACACCATGTTGCCCCACATCTCCTCTCTCGCCATCCATTTCCTCTTGCTCTCTCCTCCTTCCGCCCTTTGTCCTCCCTCATTCCTCTTCCCCCTCACCTATTCCTTTGTCTCCCCACCCCCATGGACACTACAGCTGGGCATTGGCTGGCTGACCCAGGGGAGTGTCGAGTTCCAGGACGTGGTGTTGACGTACCGGCCAGGGCTGCCAAATGCCCTGGATGGGGTGACCTTCCGTGTGCAGCCCGGAGAGAAGTTGGGCATCGTGGGCCGCACGGGCTCCGGCAAGTCCTCCCTGTTGTTGGTGCTCTTTCGGCTGCTGGAGCCCAGCGCAGGACGAGTGCTACTGGACGGCATGGACACCAGCCAGCTGGAGCTGGCCGAGCTCAGGTCTGGGGAGGAGGGATGAGGTGTGGCCAGGGCAGAGAGGAGCCAGAGCTGCTGGAGGAAGTCCAGCCAGCAAGGTTTTAACTCAGGGCCACCAGGGTTGAGGATGAAAGGGAGGTGTGGATAGCATCCTATTTACTCAGGCCCACATTCATAAGGACAAGTCTCAAGGCCTTCTTCAGCCTGACCCAGGCCCACTCTTCCAGCTCATCTTTCTTTCACTTCCCGCTCCCCCACCCCCTTATATCCTTCACTCTGGACTAGCCCCCAGTCCCTCCAAGAGCCTTAGCATTGCTTGGCAGGAAGTGTTGAGGAACTTCAGATCTGGGTCATTTGCCTCTGGTCACACGTGGTCTCAGCTGGGGCAGTCCACCAGGTGAACCAAATATCATTTTCTCTGAGTTCCATGACACAGAAAAAGTAGGAAAACACTGCTCTGAAGGCTGACACAAATTCTCTTCTCTGAGCCCCTGCCTTCTCTTCTATCCTGCTGAGGCCTTGCCACAGAGTCCTCCCACCTGACTCCTCAGGACCCAGTTCAGCCAGGAAGCATCTCTAACCACCCTGGTGGTCTCTGGCCATTCCTTGCCCAGGCCCTGCTGTCCCTGGAGTCAGTGCCACAGTTTAGCACACTCTTCTCTATTTTCCTCATCCCTCCCCGATGTATGCTCCTTGAGGACAGAATCTAGACCTTTCGTTTCTTTGGTATAGCTCCAGCATGGTTCTGGGCATGTGGCTGACTGGTTGTTCAGCTGCAGGGGCTAGAACAGCAGAGTGAGGTGTTCTCAATTGTACCCATTAGCTTTTCTGGAAGCTCTAGTTCTATGCCTAAAGCTCGGACCAGGAGCAGAGTCCCCACATCTCCAGCCTGGGCCCACATTCTATCCCTTGTTTGTCCTCCAGGTCCCAGCTGGCCATTATCCCCCAGGAGCCGTTTTTGTTTAGTGGGACTGTCCGGGAGAACCTGGACCCCAAGGGCCTGCATGATGACGAGGCCCTGTGGCAGGTGCTTGGGCAGTGCCACTTGAGTGAGGTGATTGTATCCATCGGTAAGTGCTAGGCCCTGCCAGGTAGAGAAGGGAAGGCGAGGGGGCAGGGAAAGGCTAGGTTTGGGGATGGTCCTGAAGTGGGGGGTGTGCTCTGTGAGCAGAAAGGCAGTGGGAAGACGGCTTTTGGGTAACGATAGGGTAATGATGCTCTGCCTTGCAGGTGGCCTGGATGGTGAGTTGGGTGAGGGAGGCCGGAGCTTGTCCCTGGGGCAGAGGCAGCTGCTGTGTCTGGCCCGTGCTCTCCTCACAGATGCCAAGGTAAGGCAAGAGAAAAGGACACTTAAGATGACCAGGAAGGAGGGAGAGGATATGGAAGGGGGTGAAGATGTCAGTGTGGAAGAGGGACTAATAGAGGATTCAAAGTCCTGGGTTTCTTCTTCCTTTTAGAGCTAGAGAAGGGAGGAGTGGGACCGGTGCTTGGAGAGGCACCAAAGCTAGCCCGCTCCCCCTCCTTCTCCATCACTTATGCCTGTTCCAGGTCCTGTGTATTGATGAGGCCACAGCAAGTGTGGACCAGAAGACAGACCAGCTTCTCCAGGAGACCATCCGTAAACGCTTTGCCAGCAAGACAGTGCTGACCATCGCCCACAGGTGTGCACTCATCCACAGTGAGTCTAATCAGGCTCCAGGGGCAGTGGCCTAGACCTGCCCGTCCTTTCAGACACCCAGGCTCTCTTTTTCCCCCTCCAGCCTCAGCTCCTCACCCTCTAGACCTGGCCTTAGAATCACCAACTGGGCTCCTGATGGCACAACAGCTGAGGGAACTACGTCCAGGAAGGGGCTTTCTCCTTGAGGGCATTGTTCCCCACCCAGGTACTGACCATCTTCTCTCACACAGGCTCAACACAATCATGAACTCAGACCGGGTCCTGGTGCTGCAGGCGGGGAAAGTCATGGAGCTGGACTCCCCTGCTGCCCTGTGCAGCCAGCCCCACTCGCTGTTCCAGCAGCTGGTGCAAAGCAGCCAGCAGGCAGCCCACTTCTCTGTCTGAGGGCCTGACCCCACCTTCAGGTTCTCCCAGGCATTGCTCTAGGCTGGGCCATCACAGAGGCAATGACCACTTGTTTACATTCTCCTGAGGCACTACCTCTCCTTCACCTCTCCCAGAGAGAGGGAAGGGCACCCCAGATTCCTCTCTGGAAACCACTCATCCTTCATGGGCAGGGTCCGGAGGCTTCCCTAGAACCAGGCCTGCACCAGTCTGCTTGCATCTGGAACTCCAAGCAAGTGTTTCTGGAATTAGAGTCCATTTGTATTTTCACTGTTTTATTTGATAAAATTTCCATCTTACATTCTATGTATTAAAAAAATAGTACTTCTGGTTTGAGGCTGAGGTTCCTCAGTGTGTATACCCCAAGGTGAGGGGTGACAAGAAAGGACCACTACAGTCTGAGGTGTAGAGGAGGTGGAAGAATGGGGCCAGAAAGCCCCCTCCACCATCACAGTGCTGTGGTCTTTCCGGGCTCACAGGGCAGATCTGGGGGCAGCGGGAGTCCGGCTGGCAGCATGCTGACCTGGCACTCCTGATCCTGATGTGCTGGGGCATAGTGCGGGATGGGGTAGCAACAAGGTCCATGGGGTCGGACACCTCGGCGCCAGGCCCTCAGGGTCAGCAAGCCAGTGGCCAGGACCAAGGCAGCAGTGAGAGCCCCAAACACCACCACAGCCACCAGGCTAGACTCAGCCAGCCCCACATCCTGCCTCTGGACCACCTCCTTCACAGAAATGCGCAGCAGACCAGCCCCTGCACTCTGAGGAGCTGGCCCCGTGGCAGGTGCCACCATAGCCGAGGTGGTCCCCAGGGGAATGTCCACTGTGGTGGAAGGCTCTGGGAGTGGTAAGACAAGCTCACAAGTCTTGCCGCCGTAGCCACTGGGGCAAAGACAGTCAAAGTCATGGACACGATCCCGACAGCGGGCCCCTCTCTGGCACGGGCGGCTGGCACAGTCATCCAAGTTGATGGTGCAGAAGCGTCCGGCAAAGCCCTCAGGACAGAGGCAGGAGAAGCGGTTTATGCCATCGAGGCAAGTAGCGCCATTTGCACAAGGCCGCATCAGGCAGTCGTCAACATTCACCTCACAGCGGACACCCACAAATCCTGCCAAGCAGCGGCATGTGAAGTTCAGAGCAAATCCCTGGTTGTCCTGGCACTGCCCGCCATTCTGGCATGGGGATCTGGGATGAGAGCAAGAGAAGGTATGAAGACCAGTTTATACTTCCAGGTAGCCCCAGACAGCATGCTGACCAATACCATCCTCCTCCCACTTTGTAGCTACGTCAATTTGGCCCAGGCTTCCTGTACCTCAACAACCTCATTCTTAAAGTGGAAATAAAAATAGTACCTAGCTTACCAAGTTGTAAGCATTAAATAAGATATTTCAGTGCAAAGCACTTAGCATAGAGCCTGACCTAAAGACTCAGCATGAGTGTGCTATTGTTATCCTCAAAGACTCTCAAGTCTGGAGAGGAATTAAGGGCAACTAGTCCAGCACTCACTTATCTGTTTCCTCTTCCCTACAATGAGGTCTAAGACTTGTGAGGAACTTTATGTAGGTGTTGCCTGCTAGCTTTTGTGGGAGGATGAAGGGAGGCCTAGTTCTCAGTCCCTTTAGAATCATGTTCCTCAACCAGAGCAACAGCAACACACAACAGCAACAACTGTACACTTCCAGTTCCTATATGTGTGTGTGTGAATGCAAATCTTTATTATTTGAGAACACAAAGGTTATAAACTATTTGCCCAAGTAGTTTTCAAACTAAGTTCCTCTTTAGAGATTTTCAAAGACTAGAGTGATGTGGTCTCAGGTATTTTTATCAAACAGCTTGATTTTCCCCATTTTGAATTCAGATAGAAAGCTTGCTCTCCTTGATGTGAACAGCACTTGAAAATTAGCACTTTAACAGATCAGGAAATTGAATCCTGACACTCAGCGGTGTTCTCATGAGGATCAAACAATACAGGTATATATGTCAAGGAATATCACAGACATACACTTATTTTTTAAGATATGGTTCTGAAGATACCAAAAAACTCCAATACAAAGCCCTGGACCTTCTGACAGACTGGCATTTTCACCTGAGGTCTCCCTGTGCAGATTTTCTCATGCATCCTTAAAGTCCTGTCTCTTCCCTTATCATTTTTAATCATCAGATTTTTTAAATTGCAGCAATCTCCTTTATTACTTTGCTTATAACATAAAAAATGTTTTCACTGTTGTACATTTTCTTCCCTCCTCCCCCCCAGCCCTCCCCACAGTGCACCCCTTGTTCCAGATTGTAGTCATGCATATAATGCATATATTCCTTTCGGATCGTTCTTTCCCTCATCTGTTCTAATGCAGTGTTCATTATCTATCCACTCTTCCCATTCTCTCCCCAACACCCCCATGTCTATGCTATTTTATAACAGAATGTTATGCAGTATTTGTCCTTTTGTCACTGACATATTTTACTTAGCATAATGTCCTCCGGGATCCCCCCTTGTTGTGTAATGTTTTACAAGTTCATTGTTTCTCAGTTCTACATAATATTCTGTTGTATGAATGAACCATAGTTTTTCTATCTATTTATTTGTTGATAGGCACTTAGGTTGTTTCCATCTCTTTGCTATTGTTAATAATGCAACAGTAGACATGGGTGTGCTTATCATCAGATTCTGAGCTAAACTTCTTTTTCTCTTCTTTTTTTTTTTTTATTTTTTGAGCTAAACTTCTGTTCACTGCAGGGCCCAGTACTTACCCTGCCTGCTCACAGGGCCCGGCCTTGCGCTCACAGTCATGCCCATGGAAGCCTGGTGGGCACACACAGTGGTACTCACCACCCCCGTCATATACACACTGGCCTCCATTCTGGCAGGGAGACTGTGCGGTACAGACGTGCTCATCTGGGGAGGACACAGGGAAGACTCTGGGTTAGCCTTGCCCATCAGGTCCCTATGCCTCCCAGGCCCTTCTCTGAGCTTGCAAACCAAAGGCCCTGTGGCTGTGGCTGGATGGAAAACAACTCTGCTGAAGGTTCTTAGCCCTGAGGAGGTTCTTAGCCTTGACAGTCAGTCTATCTCAAACTAACATTAAGCTCTTAGGTGACCCTCAGTTTTCTCATCTGTGAAATGGCTGTAAATTTTAGCAGCTGCCTTTCCAACCATTTGGGGCTAGGTCAATCCAGACAACAGACAGAAGTAAAATGGATTATAAAATACTATGTATTTGAGGGTTTGAAATGACAAGTTTTCAATAAATACAGATGGATGTTCTCTCAAGATGCATGTAGTCACCAGCTCAACTGCTACTCCCCTGTCCCCCTACCTTTGTCACAGAATTTGCCTGCCCAGCCATTGTGGCAGATGCACTGCCAGGGCTGGTGGCAGGTACCATGCTGGCAGCCAGGCATCCTCACACAGCGTTCACAGTGCAGCCCCTCCCAGCCTGGGTCACACCTGATGGGGAGAAGCATAGCATCAGGCCTTTGGGTCTGGAGATGTGACAAAACCAAGGACCAGAGCAGAAACCAGGAAAACAAAACAAAACAAAACAAAAAACCAAGTTCTGGTGATGCAATAGTTAAACTTTCAGCTGCTACCTGAAAAGCTGTCCATTCATATGTGCTCTGGGTTCTACAGGCAAAAAAGGCTGCATCCATAAAGATTACAGCCTAAGCAACATTTCTACTCTGTAATATGGGGTTATTGTTAAGTCAGAATCAATTGGATGACATGTTGTCAGGAGGACCAGTCCTTGGAAGAAGACATTGAATAGGAAAACTGGAGGATCACGGAAAGAAAGGAAGACCCTCAATAAGAAGGACCAACAGTGACTGGACAATTCAAGTATATCAGAGATGGTGAAGATGGCACAGGATAGAGGAAGGTTCCAATCTGTCATTCATGGGGTCGCTATGAGTTGTGGTTGACTTGAAGGCCCTTAGCAACACTATCTGTTTTAAGTCCTGGTTCTACATTTTCTCCAACCTTCCTGAGCACCTCTTTTGTCCTCTGTAAGTTGGGGACAGATCTTTTGTAGGCTGACACCAAAGACGTTCACATGTTGTCTTTAAATGTACCAGTACCATTCTGATACATCTGAAATACAAACATTTCTTAAAAAGTGACTTTGAGAGGTCATCTGCACTCTCTCCCTACTTCTAACTCTAGGGTAAATGCCTGCCTTATTTTTCTAAAACCTTCCTTCAAACATAGAGATTCCCAAACTCATCCAGCCTTTTGAGTAACCTGCCTCTCAGCTCATTTCCAGATGTCCAGACACACTTGCTATTACAGAATATGCCTAACCCCCACCTCAGTGAGTCAAATTAAAGAAGATACCCCTTCATTATAAATGCTTTTCCTCAACAAGTCTTCCCTTTCATAGGGTGACCCTTTTTTCTTTTCTTTCCTCCTTTCCTCACGGAAAGGAATTTCCTCAAATTCTTGTATTATCTTTTCCATACTTGGATAATAAGACCTTGCTATCATGAGCAGAAATAGTTCTGAACTCTCGCATCACACTTCGGAAAGTAATAAAGAACACAGGTACACGCTGGAAAAGCAAAAAGAAGTGAAGCAAAGGAAAACTTGGTGGGGAGGACCTGATCCTCTGTCCTGTGCACCATATGGGGTAATGAGAAATGAACAGCAGGGTCTTCCGATCCTGAACACTCCTGGGACTTAACCTGATTGTGGGTGTGAAGATCCAGGAAATGAGTCGGATACCTATACACATGGGAGCAAAGGTTTTGGTTACCTGCAGGAGCCGTCAGGCGCACAGCAGCCGTGGGCCAGATCACAGTGGGAGCTGCAGTCATCCGCTGCAAGAGATTGATGTAAGAGAGCTGAGCCTGGGGGTCAGCAGGACGCGGGAGAGCATGTAGAGGCCCAGCAATAGGGTGGCCCAGCTCAGAGACAGGGCAGCACGACCACCCATCCCATTCCAAAAGGGTGACCTGGTTCTCGCCAGCTCCGTGGGATGGAGCGGCTGCAGTGTCGTCTCTGGCCGACAGAGGTCAACGTACAAGCGAAGGATGGCTGGACAGGGCCGCGGCCAGAGCCCAGGGGCGCGCTCACCTCGGGCAGACCGACCGGGTGTCCCCAGGATGCACAACAGGCACACGAGATGTAGGGAGCGGCAGCCGCTGGGCATGGTTCAGCGCCGACCCCAGGAGGGACGGAAGGATGGATGGCCGGACGCGCGGACACCTGTGGGACAGCACGGGCTAGGAGGCAGCCGGACGCGGGAACAGAGGCATGGAAATGGATTCTCAGTGACCAGAGCCGATGGGGGAAGAGAAGAGTCCCGACAAGAGAAAAGGGTGGGGGCAGAGAGAGGAAGGGGGAGAGGAAAGGTTGAGCAGACGGGGATTGAAGACAGGAACCGCAGATCGAGGTCTGCAGGAAGAGGGCGAAAGCCGGGCAGCACAGCGCGAGGCGAGGACGCGAGAATGGCCAGGATTGGGGCGCAGCCGGGAACGAAGGGCCCCGCGGGGAGGTGGACAGCGCCGAGAGGCTGCCTAGAGAGCGACGGGGACGCTGAGACCGGAGGGAGGGGCCGTCCTCAGCAACAGCAGCAGTCTCCGCCCCTCACCCCGGAGGCCCCCCAGGACTAGTTCCCACGTCCGCAGCGGCTCGGGGCCTGGAATCTCTACAGTGCACCAGCCCCGTGCGCCCCTGCCCTCAGGGTCCTCACCTCGGGCTGAGAGGTGGCGCACCCCGGGCGCCACGCGAGGCTGGATCCGACGGGCTCCGCCGAGGAGCTGGGCAGGGCGCGGGACGGCCCCTAGCGGGCCGCCGGGCCAGGCGCCGGCGCGGCTGCCATGTGAGCGGAGCGCTCGGGAAGCTGGGGCTCGAAGCGACCCCGAGCGGCGGCGG